CTTGACCTTAAGAACCTTGTGGGACAGGAACTGTCATTTCATTGATTTGAATCCAGAAATACAGGTTCACCCATCCTGAGACTCTCTTTCTTGAAAATCAAGTGAAAGAACACTCTCTTTTTATTATCATTACTATTTTACAAATGTTGATAATCAAAGTGTCTTAGTTCAAACCATTTTAGATGTTGCAGTGAACTAATCAATTTTATTAACTGTGAAACAGTGTAATGATTTTTTGATGCTTATGCAGAGTTAGAATTCATGTTAAGGTCTGTTACAGATTTTTATGCATTTTCTGATTTCTGTCTTTGAATGAGCAAGTGTGCGTTTCCGAGGTCAGGAGTCGAAGCAGACATGTGTTGGAACAACTGCCTTGTTTTTACATCCTCTCAGACGTCAACAGGGGGGTTTTTGCACCTGTTTCTAAAACTCGCCAAAACAAAACACTCTCTGTCTGTGAGAACAGTTTAATCTGTTCAATAACATTCTTGCTGTTTTCTGACTTATAGTAACCTCTTACGTCACAAACCACACCCCTGTCTGGTTGATATTACCCAATAAGGGACGCTCAAATATACCGGAAATAGAGCTCTTTAAAATGCCGGTACTTCCTAGTTCTCTCAGTTCGGTTCTGCGCTGAGTCTGAAAAGTTCAGTTCGGTGAAGCTTCTGAGGAGTGCGGTGAGGCACTGAGAAGTCGTTTGGGAGAACAGAAGTCCAGCATGATAAGGCTCCTCCGAGTTGGATTATTGCTATTGCTGATGTGAGCTGGTGTCGGACGGAATCTCGTCACTACTTCGGACGAGTCACAGCCATCCTATGGAGACGCTGGACAGGTAGCGTTAACTGGACCTCCATATCTGCTGATTAATCTTCAGAAAGGTAATGAGTCAAGTTTCCTACCAAAGCGTACCGAGGAAAGCTGGGTTCTGATGGAGAGTGTCGGTTCTGGGCAACACTCCCCCTCACATACCATCTTTTATTCCCTTTAAACTTCATTCCCATCTTTAAATTCTTCTCTCAAGTAGAAATCCTTCCAGATAATTTAGAAATGTCTGTGTAAAGTGCTCATCCACCGCCGTGGGGATAATTGATCATAATTGTACAGTTTTCATTGATGTCTGCTGTTCTGCTGAAGAGTGGAAACAATCGCCGAATTGTTTCTCACTACCTGTAAAGCTGTTAATTATGTTGTTATTTTCATATTTTGCCAAATTAATGTAAATGTTTGATGTTCAACTTTGATTCTGTAAAATAAATGACCGCATTCATTTTGATGGGTCAAAGATAAATGACGTCTCACGTTTGCATTTCATTAACATCAATGCACGTTTTATTCAGTCCAGAAAAATGAGGAATCCGTTTTAATTGATGAATATTTTGCAGCATCTGTTCATCTACAAAAACAATATAAGAGAAATGTGTGTTTGGCCTGCGCTGTACTCCACTTCCTGCTTGCAGAGCGGGGCCCATTCTGCTAACATTCACACTGTACTCAAACCACGCTGGAGTTCTCTTTTACCGGACCGAGACCTAGGTTTTAGCCCGGGCCAGAGTTCACCTTTTTGTTCCGTGACAGAGTTCGATGGAGAGTTCACACCTCCCCAAACAAACCGGACTTTCTAGGCAAACGGGCTAGAGTTCGGGACAACAGGGCTGGTGTGAATGCATCCTTAGGCACAATCTGCACGACTACTGCTTGACAGAACAATCTGTTATTGCTGCTGTGGACTCCGAGCTTCCTCCTCTTCCCATCACACCATCAACTCTATCCAAACCACCTGCTCCCAAAAAGCTGAAAGCACACCGTTCCCTGGAAATGGATGAAGGGAGCATTATGCAGAAGATAACAGTCATGTTTAACACCAGACTTCATAGTCTGGAAAAGGACTTGGACAAATTGATTTGTGACAATATAATGAAGATTGAGGAGCTTTAAAAAAATAAAAAAAAACGGTTGACTTCGTCTGTGCTGACATTCAGGAGGTAAAGGAGCAGTATTGTAATGTGACGAAGTAGAAATACTTTGTTACTGTACTTAAGTAGAATTTTAACGTATATTTACTTCACTATTTAAATTTCTAGTGACTTTTACTCAAGTAGATTTTCTCAATAAAATGTGTACTTTTACTTCGATATTTCCCTGTTTGTTGTCGAGGGCAGTGAACGGAAGTAGCATTTTGAACCTTGCGCCAGGCCAACCGCAGGTTTGCAGAGCCAGCGCTGTGACTCGAGGCAAGTCGTGATCAGTCGTCATGGACGTGACCAGCACCACAATGGAAGATTCTAACAGTGAAACTCTGAAAGCACGTGACGACTGCTGCACTGGCGATGAACTCGGTAGTGTTCAACACCTGTGGCCGTATTTACAAGAACTTTTTTCATACGTTGGTGTGAAAGATTCCTCTTTCCGGATGAAATGTCTCTTATGCCTACCAAAGACAAAAGAGATATTAGCATTCAAAAACTCCCCATCCAACTTAAAGAAGCATGTCGAGGTATGTTTATTTGTTTGCTTATTTAAATAATATAAATTATATTAACTTAATCAAGCCACAATGTCAGTCAGTGTTATTTAATGTTAAATAGTCGATAAATAGTTGTTTATATTATTTAGAAGTTTTCTAACTTTGTGCTCCCTAACTATTCTGAATGTAAATTACATTACATACCTACATACTTACAAAAAGATCTGAAGCTCTCGACCTTTGACCTCTCAAAGTGGCTTTAAGAATCTGTTGGACTCCTGGCAGGGACCAATGCTGACATGCTCCTGTTTTTAGTTTCTACATTCACATTATAATCTAGCTGGTTTTGTTACTTTTTTTGCCATCTTATTTGTAAAAAAAAAAAAAAAATTCTGTATGACTTTAATAATTGTTTATTGTTGTTGCTGTTGTCCATTGTTGTCATCTTTCTTTGTTGAAATCAGGTCTCTCTTGTAAATGAGTCCTCGAGGCTCAATGGGATTTACCTGTAGAAATAAATAAAGGTTGATTGAATGAAAAAAAAAACGGTTTTTAGCAAGTTACAGTGTTTAAAATAATTCATATCATAAAAAAGCATCATGTTTTGTTAACATTTGCTTTGAACGAATTAGTGAAATGCTCGTTGTTATAGGATATTTGTAGAGGTGTGACAAATTAAAAACTGCATTTATTGACCACCAGACACAACAACAGTGCACCAAAAGCACTTCTTATCCTGAAGCGTCACCTAGTGGCGTGAGCAACATGGCACAACAATATTGTTGGCCGATGTTAAAATATCAATAACTATAATGCAAATGAGACTATATCGATATATCTCATGCTGTACGTAGAGTTATATAACTATACTTGAAAATCTGCCAGTTTCTCTCTCAGCTCTGTGATTTCATGTGTGGCCACCTTCTCCCTCATAAACCCAGCTCGTCCCGCGTGTCCGTGAACTGCAGCGCCGCATCTCCCACTGTGAAAGGCTACATGCATGTGCAGACATCAGTTGTTACAAACTCTTACTTTGCTGTGATGAACACCCTGGATCTGTCAAAACATTTGATTTTTCTTTCAGCAGTGTGCTTTTCTTTCCTGTATGTCTGTTGTTTTACAGACAGACACATGTGCAGTCTTACATCTGATTTGAACAACAGGATAAATATATTCAGCATTCCCTCACACTCTCTGAGGTCAGCAGATCAGCTGCCCCTGAACTGTGGAACGAGCTGCCTCTGACATCACTTCCTGTTTTTAAATCTTCTCTGAAGATGCATTTGGTCTCTTTGTCTTTGAACGCAGCTTGAAATGTTGGTTTTACTGTTTTTAAGTTATTTGTTTTATAGTTTTTACTGTTTGCTGTTTTGATTTTAACTGTTTATTACTTTTATGGTATTTGTTGAATTTATAGGTTTTATTCTTGTTTGTGTTCGTGTACAGCACTTTTGCCAACAGTGTTGTTTTCAAGTGCCTTATAAATAAAGTTGTATTGTATTCATTCATCTAACCTTTATTTCTACAGGTTAGTCCCATTGAGCTTCAAAGACTCATTTACAAGCGAGACCTGATTTTAACAAAGAAAGATGACAACAATGGACAATTATAAAATAGGCATACACATTTTCAAAGTTTCTTTTTTCTTTTTTTAACAAATTGAAACAAAATAGCAACCAAAAGGATAATCAAGAGGAATAGTAGCAAAAAACAGATCACAAGGCGATTTAGAAAACTAAAAACAG